AATGTTATGTACTTTAATTTATTGATGCAAAATGGTTGCAATACTTAAGTATGACGTTTTGCAATTGATCCAAATGTGTTTTGTAATTTTAAAGGTTAAAATTGATACGCATTATCAGTGGTACTCAAAACAGTATAGATTTGATATAATATTATGATATCAAATGATCCGCTCGATATAACGGAAACGGATATAGAATTTTTAAATAAATAATATGTGTATATTGTGAATTATAATGTACGAGTATAATACATTATTATACATGCCATATAATATAATATAGAGTAATATTTTTGTTATTCGAGGCTATTGAAATTATATTTTAAGGTGACTGGTGAGTAATGTGTGCCCCACCCCGTGTCCCCGTATGATGTTGTAAACTTGTATGATAAAGGTTAGGTTAGGTAATTACTATAAATCAGTATCAATACGATAGGATTTATTTGGATTTTTATTTTTATTTCAAACTGTCAACCATTTAATAGATGGATATAAATGTACATTTTTCAGAACAATTGGACGAAATGATACATCTAACTATCAATTATTAAAAAAAACCTTCTATATTCGTATACAGACTGTAATTATATATTATTAATGATTGACGATTGTCGATAAACAATCAAACTTAAATTAAATTTAGAAATGTCCCATGAAATCGTTATTGCGGTCGACAATTGGCCAGCAGGGTTCTATCCCCGCTGCAAAACTCGTATATATTTTTATTATTATGCTTGATATTTTATATTTGATACTGACGTAGGGCAAAAATGGTTACTGATTTGATTAACGTCGGAAATTCGATTCTTGGAAACTATAATTTATTACCGTATGTCAAGTCATTCATTGACGTATAGTTTTGAAGAAATCAATACTGAACCACATCCAAAAACAGTAAGTAAACAAATACAATAATGTATAATAACTATATAACTAAAAACAAAAAGTGTATACATTAACATTTTTAACAATATTATTATTTTATTGTTTGAAACTAGTAAAACAAAGTATTAAGTACCTTCCTATTACATAGACATTAGACTGTTAGATTTACTTTTAATTATTCACATTTCAATATCAAATTAAATTGTAGCCTTATAAATATATCTGTTAATTAATTATAAATTAAATCACCAGTATAATTTGATTGATGATTGCGTATTATTTTTTTAATTATAGTAACCATAATTGAAAGGATTTGTGATTCTATTGACCATAGAGGCATAGAATATGGTTATACGAAATGACATAATTTATGTGGTATTTTATTATATGTATGTAATGCATATTCAAGTATAGCGTGTACATTATGTGACTGTAGTACTATACATAAACTACACATTGCATTAATTAATTAGACAATGAATTTATAAATTATCGTATGATGTTCCAACTTAAAAATCAAAATCAGTTTTAAGGTAAAACAAATAATTTTATTTTTATATAATATGAGTAGTTAATAAATAGTTAACAATGACCAGTCCCAACAATTTAATCATAGTATCGTATTTTATCAAACAGTTGAATATAAAATAATATGTTAATAAATTATATTTATTTAAATAATTTATACCCGACTTCTTAACGTTTAAATCGTTTATTGATTAATTAATAATATGTAAATTAATTAGGCAT